TTATTTTGTTCTATTAGAGTGATAGATTTTCTGTAATTGATTCTGAGAGAGAAACATCGGTTCTGTTGGTTATTTTTATAATGATACACTGTAGCTTCTTCTATGTTGATGTTCTGTATTTCCATGGTAATGCAGCAATCCAGACGTAGTTCTTTCGTTGTTTCTGATAGAGGCAAGAGTATGCTTGTCGCAGCAATTATGGATGTTGTCACTTCCGACTGTGAAAGCATAGACAAGTCATCATTTAAACCATTGCTACCGAAAAATGCCGAAATCAGAGATATTGCAGCAGCTATAGAAGTAATTGAAGAGGGCAGCATGCATTGGGATGAGCAGAATGGTGATGAAGAAGATGATGATGACGATGATGGTGGAAAAGGAATAAAGGGTATCGGAATCAAGGTTCTTGGAGGTACCACAGTTTTGGGGCTTTCGGGAACTGGCGGTTATGCTGACGTGGAGCATTCCGATTCGTACAACTCAATGACGGTAAATGACGCACCAAGTAATCTTTTATTCCACAAAATAAATGAAAGTTCCCATGCACAAGCAAAGTTGTCATCTGCTGTAATTCCTGGCCTTTGGGATGATTTGGATTCTGAACATGTGGCTGTTCCGTTTGCTGCATGGGCATTAGCTAACTGGGCAATGGCTTCTGAAGCCAATAGGGGTCATATCCAAGAGCTGGATAGGGATGGGCATGCAGTTATGAGTGCATTGATGGCGCCTGAGAGATCGGTAAAATGGCACGGGAGTTGGTTGGCTCAGTTGCTTTTAGAGGACCGAAATCTGCCTTTAAATAATTCTGTTGCAGATTGGAGCTCTAGTCTTCTTTCCACTATTTCTCAAGCTAGCCGAACTCAGGATATACCTCTGGCTCAAGTGGCTTTGTCTGCATTGTTGGTTTCTATTGATAGAAGCCCTGAATCTCAGGAAGTAGTGATGGATAAAGGTCTTCATTCAATGAGAGAAGCAGCTAAGCAAACGGTGAAGCATAAATCTGTCCAAGAATCACTGGCGAAAGCTTTAGAACTAATCACTTCCAGGGAACTTCATATGTCTCTCGAAGAGAGTCAGAAATGGTCAGCCATTTTACTTCCATGGGTATTTGGAAAACTTTCGTCTGATACGATTCGTTCATCTGCTATAAATATTCTTTCACACATTCTTGAAGATTATGGGCCATCCTCTGTTCCGATTTCTCAAGGATGGTTGACTATCTTACTCATGGATACACTGAGCTGCAGAAAGTCGACTTTAACAAAAGAAAGTGCTCAGCTTACAAATGAGAAAGTGAAGGTCAGTAGGTCAAAAATAAAGTTACATAATTTTAATTAAATAATCCGTTTCTGATTGTAAATCTTTGCTGCAGACACAAATTGATCTGTCAAATGTTGTTTCTGCAACTCAGACTGCAAATCAGTTGGCAAGTGCTGTTGTTAATTTAGCAGGATCACAGCTGGGAACGGCTATTGAAAGTGCTGATACATTTCCACTGGCCGACCTTCTCTTCCTTGAACCCTTTGCTGGATTATATAAAAATCTAAAGAAGGACAAAGTGCCAAAGGTAACTGCTGCCGATTCTGCACTGGCAACTCTTAAAGGCATCAAAGCACTGACGGAAATATGTGCCGAAGATCCTTTGTGTCTGCAGAAAATAACTGACTTTGGAGTACTATCTTTACTTAGGCGCCTCTTGTTGGAAGATGATTATGAACAACTTGCTGCAATTGAAGCATATGATGCATCACGTGCTAACGAGGCACAAGAACGGGCCCCACCTTCAACCGGTGATTCTACGGTAGTTGATTCGCACAACCCTTCAAATTTACGAGTTCCAGCTACTGCTCACATTAGGAGGCATGCGGCGCGTCTGCTTACTGTTCTTTCTGTTCTTCCACACGTACAGAAAGCAATTGTATCAGACAAATCTTGGTGTAAATGGCTCGAGGAATGTGCCAGAGGGCAGATTCCTGGCTGCAATGATCTTAAAATTCAGAGTTATGCGAGGGCAACGTTATTAAATGCGTTTTGTAGTGATCCAGCCAGTTGGAAGTCTGAAATTGTTGGTGTTCCTGATGGAAGTTCTTTGAACAAAAAACAACAACAGTGCCCTCAATATGCTGATATGATATTTTTGATTAACCCTGAATTGCCTCACTGGAAGTGTATAGAACAAAAAACGTCGAACTCTGTTGATAATGCAGCAGTTGATGACGATTCTGCTGAGAGCGAGAATAGGGCGTTGTCGAGAACTTTGGAGAACGATAATCCTCCTGCTTCTACTTCTGGTTCCGGAAGCTTCTCGAATATGGAGTTTCCTCCATTGGATATTGTTTTTGTCCATGGCCTTCGTGGAGGTCCCTTCAAAACATGGCGGTTATCCGAGGACAAGTCATCGACAAAGTCTGGCCTTGTTGAGAAGATTGATGAAGAAGCTGGGAGACAAGGAACATTTTGGCCAGGAGAATGGCTTGCAGCTGACTTTCCTCATGCCCGTTTGTTTAGTCTGCGATACAAGGTCCGTTGCTTCTTTAAAAAAAAGAAAAAGTCAACTTCTAGTGTAATATTGACTTTTGAATTTTTCTGCATATCTACAAATTTACGGTCGAAATAATTTGAGGAAAGTTAACTATTAGATTAGGAAGATGCAATATTTTTTAGCTTTTTCAGTATTTAACTCCCACGCTATTGCAAAATGCAGACAAATCTTACACAATGGTCTGGAGCCAGTCTTCCTCTTCAGGTTTATTTCTGTTCGAACTATATTTCGTATATCTCTTTGGGTATTATATCATTACCTTTTTGGTTTGTCATCAGTTATTTCTGAAGTTTAATGTTCTCTTCGATGTGTAACTATTGAATATGGCATAGTAGACCCACCATCACATACCCCTATCATTACCAGTTCCATTTGTCACCAAATTAAAACTTGCTCTCGGGTAATCTGCATGGAATGTTAGCCAGAGCATGAAAGATGGTTTTGATGTGCAAATAAAAACGTTCGATACGAAATTTAAACTTGCATGAAGACAGTTATGCATGGAACATAACCTAAAGGACAGATGTTATTGTTATCTGTGAATGAGTTTTAATTTCCACTTTATGTACCGTATTTGCTATCACTCAAATGAATGTATTTACGTTCTATTGCTTAGGTAGTCCTTCATTGTCTGCGATAGCACTATTGGATTTTTGTTTTTCTTATCTTTTACTGATTTACTCTTGCTGTTCTTCTGTTAAATTTGTATCTTGATGTTATATGATCTATTAGATGGATCTCTTCTTAATATCGTTGCATTTTCAGGAAGTGAGCTCCATGCTGTTAGAAAAACTAGTTGATGCTGGCATTGGGGATCGACCGGTTGTATTTGTAACTCATAGGTGAGGCTGATATAAATTCAAAATTTTGATTTGCTATGTGTCTAGCAACGGTATTATCGTGTTTCTAATTTCCATGTTTAGAGAAATGGCAGAAACAGTTCTTGGTCTCATGGCAAGAAAAGTAATTCAGTTAGCCCGATCTGTGTATTACTTTAGTCATCTGTACTTGGGCGGGTGTATAGAGGAATTAAAGAGAATATGGAGACATTTATCCCTTTTCTATTTTTATAAGAATTTCTTATTTGCATAGCATTATCTCACGTTGTTTGTATAACGTAGTCACATTTCTTGTGCAGCATGGGAGGCCTGGTTGTCAAGCAGATGTTGTATCAAGCAAAGGCAGAGAACAAGGGTAATTTTGTCAACAACACAGTGGGAATTGTAAGTTTTCTCTTTATCCATAATAAAAAAGTTAAGCACGTTTCATCTTTCCATTATTTATCATATATATATGCATAATAAATCATTATACGTATTGCAGATTTTCTACAGCTGCCCGCATTTTGGCAGCAAGCTCGCGGACATGCCTTGGCGCATGGGTCTTGTATTACGTCCTGCACCCACAGTTAGTCTTTTCTTCTTAACATTCGGTTGAAGTTTTAGCTTTGTTTCGGGTAATTTTAAATGTAAAAAATGATTTTTTTAGTGATATTAATATTATCTGCTACGACCAGATTGGAGAATTGAGAAGTGGATCGCCTAGGTTGGTAGAGCTTAATGATTTTGTCCGTCAACTTTACAAGAAGAAGTTGATCGATGTCCTAAGTTTTTGTGAGGTAATTTATTAATTAATTAATTAGTTAATTAATTACATTCTATTTAAGTTTCAATAAAAAGGTCCAACAGTTAGTGAGTTTGACGTATTTTGGCTTCTGACAGACAAAGGTAACACCGATCGTAGAAGGTTACGGAGGATGGGCCTTCCGAATGGAGATTGTACCCATGGAATCTGCCTATCCTGGATTCGGTGAACTTGTAGTAAGTTTTATTTTTTTAGTTTACGTAAATTTTATCCTAAATATCGTAAACACGTCTGAATTTGATCTGTATTGTGACACAGGTGTTGGATTCGACGGACCATGTAAATTCTTGCAAGCCATTAAACAGGGCTGATCCATCCTATAAAGATACTTTAGAGTTCTTACAAAAGCTGAAATCACATTATACTACAAAAGATTCTTCTGTACATTAGCCCTCCGTCACAGGATTACAGTGAGATACTCGAGCCCCGTTTTTTGTTGGCTCTGCAGATCAATTAGCCAATACTTGATGAATGAACACTTGGAAGAGAAAAAAAAATTGTGTATAGAAGATTTTTCTTTTAGATTAGTTTCATAAGTCACGATTCTTGGTACAAAATTCAGTAAGTTTTAGGATATGGAGGAATAGTTACTGCCCTTTTTACTTGTAATTATTCAATCAGATGAACTACGGCCACCCCTGAGGTAATGTCAAATTATGAGAAACCCACTCATATTTGAGTAATTACAATTACCCCTCAATTATGAATATTTTTTACAAGTACACCTTTACGGTGTTAAATTTAGTGAATCTTTTAGATTATATAGAATATTCTTCAGTTTGTACCCATTTGGAACAATATCATCATCAAAGGTGCGGTGCCCTCTTGGCTTGTAAATATCAGATTGTGGTGTATCAGAAAACTGCATTTTTTGTACAAAACAAGCACAAACTAAAGAACATTACACGGAATTTTGAAGGTTATGTTGAATTTGACACCATAAGCGTGGACAAGTAAGAAAATTCATAATTGAGGGTGGTAATTATTCAAACATGATGATTTTTTTTGTAATTTGACCATATATTAGGGGGTTGACCTTAATTTAGCGAAAAATATATATAATATATTATTTTTTTTGACACCAGCTGGGCTTTCTCTCTTATCTCACAATAGTTTTGGGCTAAAGCCCAATTTCTTCCTATCAAGTTTTAAATAATAAAAAAAAAAAAACTGAAAATTGGGGAAGGTAGTAAGTGCAGCAAAAATGGCGTGCTTCGGTAGTCCTGCAACAACGCTGAACCCCTCATCTTCTTTGAAATTTCTCAAAAACTCAAGCTCAATTCGACAGCTATTTAACAAATCCCATCACACATCACCAAAACCTAGCAAATTGAAGAACACCAAAAGAATTTCAACAAATGGCGGAGTCTACAGAAAATCATT